TTTTACATGGCTTCAATCTACATTCAAAATCATGTAAACTAGCTTTTGAGTCTCCCCAAACCTCCTCTTCCTCGCTCTGCTACAGCCCTTCAAAATTTGTAAAAGCGACAGCAATCCTACCACAAGCAGAGGTGCGATAGGGGGAGCCGGGTCCCCCAAAAGTGAAGGTGGTCCCTGCTACCACTGGCTGCCAAAAGTGAAGGTGGTAGTGCCGGACACTCACCTCCCAAAAATGTCGACCGGGGGGGGGGGTCGCAGCTACCACAGGGCAGCAAAAATGAAGGTGGTAGTGCCGGACACTCACCTCTCAAAAACGTTGACCGGTGGTGGGGGTAGAGAGGGGGGGGCACAGGACGGACTTTGAACTGGGTTTTTTGGGTTTTTTTTTGGTTTGGGTTTTTTTCGGACTTTTGGGTATTGATTTTTTTGCTGAAACTGAAAAAAAGGAAATTAAGCAAAACGAACGCAAAAGAAAGTATTGAGAGCATATTCTATGTAGTTTATTTTTAGGAAATCGCCGTCGCCTTCTGCGAGAACTGGAGGTCATCACCGGCATGGACGCATATACGCCTCAGCACTTTCTACGATAGAGCAAAGCTTCATGATGACTTCGGACAACTAAAGACCTCTAACCCAACGGCCCTCTTTAGGGCCACAGATACGATGAACACAGCGGCATAAATATTCGAAATAAACGTGTCAATGAAATGGTGTATTTTGAAGTGAAACTCAACGACACTTTACAGATTTTATTAAGTAAATTTAGTTATGTCGTACTGCGAAGAAAGTAGGTCGATCCAGGAAGTATTTGCCGAGAACCAGAATTTTGAATGAAAAAATAACCAGAAATCATGCAAAATTGCCACTGTTATAAACCAAGTGGTTGAAGATGTCAGCAACTGCGACTTCATAGGTTTTAAAGGGTAAGTGTTGCTCTAACAGATAGTGAAAGAATCGGGTCGATTTGAGCAGTGGTCGCTGAGAACGAGAATTTTGAAAAATTAGGCGATTTTAGGCTAATTTTTGACTGCTGACATTTGAACTCCTAAAACTCTTGATTGTGAAGATATGTGATGTTGCGACTTCATAGGTTTTCTAGGGTAAGGTTTGCCCTACTTGAATATATCTTACCCGTACCAATTCATCAAAGCACCGCCGAGATCCAGGCTCTTGAAAAAGCAGGTAAAAAACAGCTTTTTGAACTTCAACAGCTCGTAACTTCTCCAGAACTGCATGAATCATGTTGCGACTTCATAGGTTAGATTCCTCTCATCAAGGGCTTTCAGATGATATATGATATATGGGGGTTTGGGGCCTTCTTCGACGTATGACCGGGGGGGGGGAGACTTTTTAGGCCAAAGTCTCCCCCTCGCCCATTTTAATGTATTGGCTGGAGGCCGCCAGGGGAGACTTTGGCCTAAAAAGTCTCCCCCCCCCCCGGGCATATGCCGTAAGAGGCGCGAAACTCCCACATATTATATACCAACTGAAAGCTCTTGATAAGAAGAATTCAACCTATGAAGTCGCAACATGATTCATGCAGTTCTGGAGAAGTTACGAGCTGTTGAAGTTCAAAAAGCTGTTTTTTACCTGCTTTTTCAAGAGCCTGGATCTCGGCGGTGCTTTGATGAATTGGTACGGGTAAGATATATTCTAATAGGTCAAACCTTACCCTAGAAAACCTATGAAGTCGCAACATCACATATCTTCACAATCAAGAGTTTTAGGAGTTCAAATGTCAGCAGTCAAAAATTAGCCTAAAATCGCCTAATTTTTCAAAATTCTCGTTCTCAGCGACCACTGCTCAAATCGACCCGATTCTTTCACTATCTGTTAGAGCAACACTTACCCTTTAAAACCTATGAAGTCGCAGTTGCTGACATCTTCAACCACTTGGTTTATAACAGTGGCAATTTTGCATGATTTCTGGTTATTTTTTCATTCAAAATTCTGGTTCTCGGCAAATACTTCCTGGATCGACCTACTTTCTTCGCAGTACGACATAACTAAATTTACTTAATAAAATCTGTAAAGTGTCGTTGAGTTTCACTTCAAAATACACCATTTCATTGACACGTTTATTTCGAATATTTATGCCGCTGTGTTCATCGTATCTGTGGCCCTAAAAAGGGCCGTTGGGTCAATTGTTGGCCCTAAAGAGGACCGTTTGGTCATAGCTTTTAAAATCGAAATTCGTCCTGAAGCTATCTTCTCCGATTTCGTGGAAAGGCGGAAAAGTGGATGCGTCCATGGCGGTAATGGCCTTCGCTTCCGATGGGTGACGGCGAGTTCCTAAAACTGCAATACATATGTATATGCCTTCAATAATCCCTTTTGCGTTTGTTTTACTTATTTTCCTTCTTTATATTCAACAAAAAATTTTTCGCAAAAGTGAAGGTGGTCACTCTGTATCAGCTCAAAAGTGAAGGTAGGGGGAGACTTGGCTCCCCCTATCGCACCTCTGACCACAAGCGCGCAGTGATATGCGCGGACATAGCATTCCGTCAATTCGGAGAGAACCTTCTTAGCATTTTTATCGCCTGTTCATTATGGTTTATGGATTTTGTTCTATTCTTTCTTGTTATGTATGTTATATCATTCACGAGCGTGTCATAGAGAGTGTCCTATCTTCCCTGCGACGACAACGCGCACTTCGTTTTCAAAAATCAAAGCAACTCGTGTCATGCTCAGCCTGCAAATCTGGAGGTCCACTCCTAGCACTGCAAAAACGATGCCTCCTCCTCTGCTTTCATTTTTCAAAAACGAAGCCCAGTGTCTCTGTGCGAGCTGCGCCGGGCCCCGTTTCGTTGAAAAAATTAACACACATTTTTTTGATTGAGAAGGAAGTAAGTCGTGAGAGTAAACAAAAGAAACAGGAGTGGTAGCAATCTAGTGGAAACCATCCCTTCAGTAAACTTTCTTCATACGAGATGACGAGCAGCTTCTCAGTATCAATGAAACCATGAGGTAAACAGTCATTAATAGTGGAGTTTGGCAAATTTACACTCGTTTCTAGGTCTAGCAAAGATTGCCATTGTAGGTGACTGAACTTCTATCATTTTGACTACTTTCATTTACTTCACCGAGTCTGTAGTTCTTCCAGCTTTCATTTTCGATATCTTCACTTGAGCTGTTCTCAGTGAGCTTCCTTATAGTAGCGTTGCAGACTGACCTGTCTTACCTTCATGTGTGCTTCCTCCTCAGACAATAATTGCGAGCACCCGCGGCCCCCAACGGTGTCCTTCGGCGGTGCGCGGGCATCAAATTCTTGCACTGGTTATCATTACGGAAAGGCCGCGGGCCTCAAATATTCGGGCGAGCCTCGGCCTTACAGGACCCCTGCATATGTAGTTTCCGGGCAAGCCCGGGCCCTCTAGGCCACGACCCGACAGAACGACTCTGGCGAGCCCCGGGCCTTGCTGGATGCCGCAATTCTTACACGCTGTAAGAGGAAACGTTACTTGCGTGAGATATGGCGCGATGGTAGAGCTACCCTCCGCATTAAATCGCTAGGACAAGCCAACTTCTTGTCGTCGAAAGTGTCTTGGATGACGCAACTGGAGCCCTCGATTGCACACTTATACATTGGAGCGTCAATTAGGAGGGATGTGAATGTCATTCTGTATTTTTGTATAGATTGCGGCCTTTATGCTAGGCTGGAAGTGGAAACGGCTTCTCAAAATTTTTCGTAATTCGAGCGCGTATCGGCCCACCCGCGGGTGCGAATCGCGTACTTATCGGGTGCTTGTCGGGCCACCCGATGGTATTATTCGGACGCTTATCGGGTCACCCGCGAGCACTGTCGGGCGCTTATCGGGCACTTACCGGCGCGCACTCGGGATGGGCGTGGCGTCGCCCGTGGGTGGTCGGCGGGTGCTCGCCATAATTGTCTGAGTCATAGTAGCGTTGCAGACTGATCCGTCTTAAATTCATATGTATAATCACATCATTGTTCAAAGAAGAAACTGATTGACTACATCGTTCTCTACAAAGATGTGGAGGTTTCACAGCTGCGTCTCATAAAATGCAGTTCTATTATATTTCTATCACTCTGGTGACAGCGAAAGAATGGTGTTAACCTGTAAGCATGACCGAACATCACATCAGATGGTGGTTCCGACCAAATAACTACTATTCCATATTTTGCAGAGTCCAGCACTCTTTCCGATGTATTGAGAAATGTGATTGGAGTATTCGACAATCTCAAATAATAGCCGGGATAGGCGGCAGCCATGCGATTTTTGGGCAAGCGGGCACCGAAAAAATAGTTCGCTGATTTCTTGCGAAAAAATAAATAGTCCGCTTGCAGAAATTTGGAAGAATGTTGGCCAGTTTTTGGACGAATGCTTGAAGAACAATCGCGGTTTTTCTTTAGATCAGTTGCGGCGCAGTGGCCCCACTATCGCAGACTTTCCGCGAGAATATGCAAAATTATTGAGGGCCGCACGGTCCTTTGTGGAGAACCGCACAGCTCGTAGGTACCTTTCGCTGAGAGAAAATACCCCAAACTCGGATAACTGAACCATCGACGACACTTCTGCCACACAGAGGTTCACTTTTGCTCGGCGTGCGCCCGAAACTGCGTAAAATGAGTCTTAGTGCCTGCTGAAAGCTCGTTCGCTGAAAGGGATTATTTGACGAGCGCTTGTAAAAAAATTTTGCATTGTTGCTGTCCGCTGGCAGAACACGAACGTACCGCTCGCTGAAGGTTGGCCATGCCCCAAAATTTTGCTAGCCGATTGCAGAAAAGCGCTAGTTTGCGGACCGCCTTCCCCCGGCGATTATCTGGGATCGGTGTCGCGATATGACCCTTTTGTCTACCTCTAGACTGCGTTTGATTTCAATGCCTCAAAACAAAACAAAAGGAACAAGCGTTGACATTCTGATGCAAAACTTATAGAAGGGCCTGATAATTAGATTCTCGTATCACCTGCATAACTTTATGATTTTTGACCATTTAAATGCTATATTGCTTTGATCCTTAATCACTGTCATTGCAGATGCTCTATGCCTGGGCGCTAAGTGGGGGACCAAGCGAGGTATCGAACTACTCAGGGAGGCTGGGTTCAATGAGATCTCCGTGCATCGCCCAACTTATTTTCTGCACAACGCGTTCTATATCTCCAGAAAATAACATCGCTTGGGACCAGACCCAAAAAATATCACATCTTTAACAATGTGACCAAATAAACCATCAATGACACATCTGACGCTCACTTGCATCTTGGCCTCTGTATGCACCAAACTACTGAATGCTATCGCGAATGACAATGCGTACAAGCTTAAACCTGTCGTCTAAGCATACAGGGTGTCCTAAAAGTAAGTAAAGTATGTACATTCTATCTGATCGTTCATATCTTTCTCTTCACATGGACTTCAGCTGGACTTCGGGTATCATTATGTAGAGCTAGTCAACTTAGATTTAGTGTACAAAGCGATTCACCGACTGCGCTTTATCACTGTGGATTAAGGCAGAAGGCAAGTCATTGTGAGATAGGTCTAGAAAGAGGTCTGCTGACAAGCATGCTGACATCGCTGTATTTCTTTGGAAAAATATGCCTTTTTTCCAGAGTTCTTGCCGTAATTCTACAGTGAAGAGCAATCGGTGAGTCGTTCCATGCTGAAATTCTAAGCTAAAGCCAGCTCTTCACAATGTGCCAGCTCATTGTATTCTGAAGAGTACAAATACGTTCGTAGAAGGTGCGTGCTCACTATTGTCTGGACAAGCTTGTAAGTGTATGGGATCCAATGTACTTCAACCGCTCTGAGCGTCGGTCAGAAACAAGACCCTCGCAACCACCCTCATCACACCGCCTGTACATGTTTGATTTAGCATAGAAAGAAAATAATCGTTTAAAAAAGGTAGCATTAGGCTAATAGAATTCAATATGGGAAGAATTCCATCAACATCCATCCATTCTTCCATCAACACGGGAAGAATTACATATTACGAGCGCAGCTGCAAATGATGGCCAGTAAACGTCCTAAACGACTACATCGAGATCCGCTGATGCGAAACAGGCAACATGATTGATACTATTCAACGGATCAATGTATTTTATGCTCAGACGCAAATTGAGTGACTGTACAAAGGCGAAGGTGTGCAGCTGTGTGTAAGTGTTGAGCTGTAATGCGTCTGGAATACGAAGTATATCGCACAAAGAAGCATTCAGCAGGTAAGGGACCAAATAAGGTGATTGTCACCGCTACACAGATGAAGACGAATATATTGAAATTATTATTAGGTTATTTGAAATCCGAAGCGATTAGTTTTTTCAGGATTTTGCAACATGGATGTGAACGTAGTTCACATTCATTACAATCGTCATTGCGATTATCATTGCATTTGAAAAGCTAATACCCCTTATTCACTATAGCTTCAGATGTTGAAGTCGATATTTCAGAAGAAGTTCCAAGTTGAAGTTCGTTGTTGCTTTTTTCAAAAGTGATTGTTTATTGCAAAGTGGAGGTTCAGTACTAATAAACCGACAACGAAATCTGAATTTGGGGGTTTTCGAGGTTGCTCTCTTCAGATTGCTGTTGTTCCTCTAAAATTATAGTAACAAATGCAAAAATGCTTATATATGTGCTTCAGTAATAAGTTTTTCCTTAGAGCAGTTCAAATGTGAACTCGTAGCCATTTACAGCAAGCATAGCCACAGGCGTGAGAGGAGGTTGTTCTTATATTAACCACATTTTGCTTTTCTAAAGTACGGTAAAATTTAAAAAATGGTTGCAAATGAGTTCAGATTACTTCCTCGTAACGCAGATAGTCCTCCACCCGGTACTTGAGTTTGCCATCTATTTTGAGAGTGTGAAAGCAATTCAATTAGTTAGAAAACTTTTGGAGCTCCATTTCGTGGATAGGGTGATTATACACCCAGAGATTGAACATTTTTACAGAGTGTGGATCATTCTTCTGATGGTCTTTTTTCCTTCATACAATCGTTTGTTATCCTTGGTAATATGTTGAGCTTTCTAGGACTACCATATGGTTCTGGCAATGAAGTTTAAAGGCAGCGCCCGAGCAAACTACCGCCTTCCAATTTGCCTTATTTAGGCCTTTTCAATCGGTGGTTCCAGACATAGCACTCAAAAAGCGTGAATCTCAAAAAATTCCTTGGGGTCACTTTATGAGAACAGTAAACGAGTGCCAGGGCCCAGAACGAGTTCGGCAATGTCAAGGCAAGCAGAAGGTTCTATATGAGAAAGCAAAGGGATTATTGTTATCAAACGTTCCCATGCGTACATACCCCTTAGACATGTTCAGCCGAGAGAAAAGCGGATTTTTACGCGAATGACATGTTCAAACATGTTGCTGTAGAAGACGCCATTTTGAGAACTGTTTCTTTGCATAAAGTAGTAAGCGAATGATTTGGGCGCACACATGAATTATGTTGCCAAATATGGTGTGTAAACGCACAAGGATTAGAAGAACAAACTGAGAGAAGTAGTGAGAAAATTGTATGATTGGAAGATAGGCTTTTTTTCTAAAAATTCGCGCAGTAAGACCAAGAAGCGAAGTATGAAAAAACTAAAGAACTTGTGTGAAACAATTACGGGTTTATCTTTTTACCAGTGCGTCACCTCTGCTTCGCAGAGGCTCGCACTGGCCCTACTTTCTGTATGCCTTACTCATTCCCGCATAATAGTGACATTGAAACTCACCGCGTTATGCAGGCTATCGTGAATGATTTGTAAACAGCTACTCATTCCTAGAGCTTTTTTGCGTGAGATCGGTATTTTCACGTGGATGAAACTTTTCTCAGAAGAATAAATGCAAATTTGAATAGGTTTGTGGAATTCTCATGGCTTGGTAGTCGCCAGAACGGCAATAATCATCGTGGGCTGCATCTCTGTGCAAAAATCTTCTCAAATGATCACGTAAAATCGTGGTAAATTGAACATTTACGCACTGATACTTTTTGGCGCCATTTTCGTAAAGTAACCAACTTTAGTTGGATTTTTTGGGCTAAAGTTCAAGGCTTGTACATTAGCTTGTCAAACATATCCACGACTTTGCAAAAAGTTTATATACGGACCCAATTTTGCTGGTCAGAAGTTGAGTGGACCCGTTTCGCGCGCAATTTCTAGGGGATCCACTTATCGGATCCACCTGTGCTTTTGCACAATGGACTTTCCTGTTGCTGGGATGTGTTAAGCAAAATTTGGGCTCAAGAGGTTAGCTGGAACTCTCCCTACGAATTTCGTAACGGACAGACAGACACACACACAAAAAAACGTAAACAACCCTTAGCCCGTTATTATAAGTTATGATGATTCGTGGGCAGTTATTCACTTAGTGCCCACCTGAGGCTGACAAAACTTCCATTTCACATAAGTTTTTCAAGATTTCTGCACAAAACTGTTTTACATTTAGGCTAGAATCCAAAGTAACAAACGAGTCGCGACCTTCTAGAAAGAAAGCGCGCTCTAATTAAAAAGCTTGTGCAGTTGGTGCGATCAAGGAAAAATCGTGACAAAGCGGCAACGAGATAATCATTGCGTGAGGGTCCATTTGCCACCTCTTGTGCCGGGCCCTGACAAGTGCCCCTGACGCTATCCTGGTCGGCGGCGTGGTGTTATGAAGCAAAGGTACACCGCTTTCCTCCCTTTGCTATATCCTGACGTTCATTTGCGTTGCGTCGCTCTTAATTACAGCCGCAGGAGAGCTAGCGCTGCTGTTGCCAGCGGATTGAGCCCCTCGGCTCCGCCCAACTCTTCTGCATTTGGAGCTGCGATTGCACACTGCGAGGCGCGAGGAACTGAAAAAAAAATCAAAAAATAGGAAGTGAAGAGGAAAGGACAGGTAATGAAATAGAGAATATCGATGGAAAAAGAATGCAAAGGTTATATACTCAAAGAGGAGCTAAGCCGAATTTGCTCAGAAATCAAACGAGAGGAAATCTAAGCAGACAAATAAGTCAAGACTCTAGAATTTGACTATAGTACGCAAAGACTATACGGTAGCTGAGATGGTATAAAAAGCAATGAAAATGATAAGTAGCTGAAAATGTCAAATTATCAAAATTTCGCTGCTCTCTGCTCCAATGTTTTCCAATTTTACAAATTCAGCAGTCTGGTAACGCATATGCTTTATAATATTGTTTAAGCCATACTTTGTGTTCAGTCAACTCTGTGCTGTCAAGAACAGTTATATCACAATGTCTCATACCAAAAGAGTTTCTACGGAATAACGCTACTAGCATGCCTTTGTATAATGTGAGTGATTACTTTGTTGAAATAAATTGCAATACAAGCAATGTTCTAACGTCAAATGTCTGATCATCAACCTGCATACACGATCCCACAAAATGCACAACTAGAAGCTTCAAATGGGAGGGCCTTTCGGTATAGGGGTGTCAAGGAGATAAGAGAGGTATACATTACGTTTTAATCTATAACTCAAGTGGATCCTGGTCCCAGCGAATGAGAAGTTATCACAGTCTATAATTTTCCAGGTGGAGCCCGTTCCTATATATTTCAGTATGCCAGAAAGACTTCAAGGGCAAACATCTCATCCTACGCGTGCATGCAATGCAAAAAGTTGAAGTAAACAGCGATACAGGTGAATGCTTCTGTACAGCATAAATAAAGCATTCGTTCTTAATAGGTCGACTGAGACAAATTTCTCGAAGATCCTACTAGGCTTAGCCATATATGCATCCCTATGGAGTGGACAAAAGATAAAGCAGAAGATCAGATATCTTGTCAAGTAGTTTCAAGCACAGTAAAAGGGATCCAATCAAAGTTTTATTGACAGTGCTTCCATGCTGTGAGAAAAAATTCAAGCGCTTTGCTGTTTCGTTCTATCCGATACTGGATGAGACTAGTAGACCAGATAGAAACGATGGACTGGGCGACGCTCAAGAAGATGTCGGTATCACTGCCCCACTGCAGAAGAGGATAAGTCAAGAAGATCAGCCTACACGAGCTGTCAACCGCGGAAACCCTATCGAGCTTTATACAAAATCTAATACAGAGCTATCAAAACTACAATTACGGATGTAGACATGCAAATGTTCCAGAACAACTGCGAAACCTTCCCGTTCCCATTATGTTCGCTAACACAAGGGATAAGCGAGAAGAAGGCTATGTGATCATTTTTGAAAGTCTGAAAGAAGCATTAATGAGGGAAACGCGAGAAGAAGATTGGCGGCTTAAGCTTGTAGTTGACTTTGAGACGATGGGCTTCAAGGATACGGTTCTTCTAAGCTGGTAATTACTCCTTTCAATCTACTATCAACTTTGCACGAAGAGTGTTTCCTCGATTCACCATCGAAGGATGCTGCTGGCATCCAAACCAGGCTTGAGCAAGGAAGAGAAACGCCTTGGGTTTACTGCAGTACCTAAAGGGTGCTAGACGTTGTCGCAGCGTTGTTCACGGGTGGCGTACTCTCAAAGGCCTACCTTTCCTACCAAAAGATCTCCATTTAGTCACTGCTCTTCAAACCTCACCTATAATCGAAATCACCCTGCTTAGCAACAATGCTTGAGGTTTCTCAGCTACTTGGATGAGACATGGCTTTCAGGACACTTCTCCGACATGTTGTGCAAATAGCTAATTCATGAAGAGCGCACCACAAATGCCGCGGAGATTTCATGGAAGGCCGAGAAGACTTTTTATGAAGAATCCTCCGCTGGGGTCTTTGCTTCTCGTCTTCCGCGGTTTTCACCTTGGTAGCAAAAACAACGCTCGCAAGGATGGACGCGGTAGATAAAGCTCCTCTTTTAGGAAAAACAAAGGGACATGACGCTTTAGTTTCTTCAAAAAGGAAGAACCCTGAGAAAACGAGATAGAAACCGACGGGAGTAAGTGAAGCAGGCAAGGGCAACTTTTGAAGAACTTCATGCAGGCTCCTACTCAACTGCTGACCAAGTAACGCACGAAAATGGCCGCCTACACTTCAGATAAAGCCATTTGAATTTTTTTGTGCCTCTGTTTCATATACTGTGTATATATCAAGCACATATTTTGTTCACATATCAGTATATTGCATTGTAATCAATCCTCCTCTTCTCTCCCTCCCCTTCTCTCCACCTCCACACCACATAAAATATTCATTTTCAAAAAAATTTCAATGAAAAAAATCATCTTCTTTTTCTGGACATATATTTTTGGATCAGCTTTGAACGCTGGAGGGCGTGCAGGAGTTCCTAGCACCTTTCCTCGCACCATCTTCGCACCATCATTCGCACCCAGGAGGGTTCTAGCACCTTCGCGACTAAGAGGTCAATCCCAGCCCATTGCTCCACCCATTGACCGGCCTCATTGTGAAGTGTGCAAGCAGCGAGAGCACAGATTCAGAGATTGTAGTAAAAAGAAAGAGTAAATAGAGAAAAATGGAGCACTTTGTCATTATCTCATGAGGAAATGATATAAAAATCTTTACTTCAGTGTACTATGTGGTAGAGAAGGCTGTACGCTTATATTTAGCAACGCTTTCACATTAAGTCTTGAGTAGTTAGTAACTTATGTTCACTGTAGTTGTTTCGAGGAAGATTTCAAAGAAACTTATGACCTCTAGGAACGTAATGTTTGACCTAGTCCTTTGCGTAAGGTTCTTTGCCGAAGTACAAAGGTGATACCTTTGATAACAAAAGGCTCGAGTATGCCTGGAGAATGACAGAAGGATGTGTTATTACCTCAGGTCATACTGTGATAGCGGATACTTTGATAAGAGGCCTTTTTGAGGACGGAAAAGGTATATAAATAGACTTAAGCTAACGAGAACAGTTAACCATGTCATTCAACAATTTTTTCTCTTTTACTAACAACCCATTCTGCTACTCAACTTACTAGGCTGTGCAACCACCGATTGCACCGCTCCAGCTTTACAATAACCAGGTATGTGTTTTTTCATTGATATATGATAGCTTGTTTTTAAAGTCAAATGTTTAGAGCTGTGTGCCGCATCCACCTCTTGCACCCCAGCTGTACGGAAGCCAGGTAACGTTGTTCAAGTTGTTAGTACAATCAAAAGTATAACATATTTTTTTAGTATTACTTGCAACCTTGCGGTGGAAGTTATTATCAGGTACCGCAACAGCAGCAGCACTTTTACGGCAATGTGAGAAAGCCGATTCAAGTCACAATGATCATTCTATCGTTGAATTTCAGAGTTACGCTCAGCCCCAGTGTGCACCTTCTATTTCCTCAGAAAGTCCACAACTTTTTGAAAACAGGGTATGAAGTATATCACTTCGAATCGAAAACAGCGTAATGAAATTGGGTTTTCCTACAGTATTACGTGCAGACCCCGGACGGAAGCTTAATCGAAGATGGTGCAGAAGAACAGCAACAGCCACAACAAAACGCGAGCACTGAGAGCGTTCCGAACAGATTCCGGGGAGTCAGAGAAGTAAGCCAGAAGGGAGTTCATACAGTGCTTGTCTACGAGATCCCGGGTAGCTCTCTAGCCTACGTCTTCGCCTTCAAGTGCAAGACCTCTATGCCGGACATCTGCACGTATCGCTGCATGCAGCGCAAAAAAATGAACAAGTACACAACAGTTAGGGTAAGTGGAAACTCAGACTATAATCATACCGAACGATATTCCAACAGGTTAACGGTGACGACTTTTTGGAAGACCCAACTTTACTTCGACACCAATGCATTCCAATCAAAAGGACCAAGGATAAGGCCACCAGAATGTCGTACGAGGTAATATCATTGGTGCAAACTTTGAAAAGTACCCATCGAAGAATTTCAGTGCCTGCAACGGATTCGCCGTGACGAGGACGCAGCTTTATTACCTACGGTCAAGTATTTCTTGGATGTAATAGACAAAATTGAAAATATGGAGTGGGGAGGTGAGCAAAGTGTTTTCCTGTGCTGTGTTCGTTCTTTCCAAAAGTATGATGCAGATATCAACAAAAAGTTGTCGGTGCTCGCATACTACCATGGAAGAGGGTATGAGTGTAGAAAATCAGCATTGAGCAGGTTTGTTTAAGTTCTGGGCACATATACATGTCTCAAGACATCGTGACGGTGCTAAACTTACAACTAGTTTTGGAATTGCTTCAAATTTCAACTTCCCAATTCAGCGTGCTGTTGAAAACGGGCTATACGCATTGAGCGGAGACGGAATTCACCAATTAAACCCTCGCAGCAAACGCGGTTCTGGCGTTAGGATGGAGGAAGGGCAAGTGTACACAATTCATGGAGTGTGCCAAGGAGAATTTGAAGTAAGATGTCCTAAGTCACTACCCAAATCTGGGAAATTCTACTTCAGATTCCGTTGCTGTTTGCGATCATGAGAAACAAGACCGAACAGGATTATATCGTCGTATTCAACAAACTGAAGGAGTTCTTGGAAGCTGCCAGTCCCGAGTCGACAGAACTTCATCTACGCGTTGTGGTAGACTTCGAGCTGGTTTGTAATTTCTCTAACTTATAGCGTATACAACTGAAATCAAAGACCTCCTAGGCGGCAATAAACGCAGCACGAAGGACATTTCCAAGATGCCCGGTTGAAGGCTGTTCATGGCATCTCAGTCAAGCCTGGGTAAGAAAGAGGAACAGCCTCGGAATCATCCAGTTCCTGAAGGGCGAAGGACGAAGCAGGCGCGTGGTACGATGGTGGAGAACGTTGAAAGGACTCCCGTTTCTCCCGCGAGACTGCTTCCATTATGTGAAAGCTTTGAGGAAGCTGCCTGTGCGCCGTAACCATCCAGCATACCAACCCCGCAGGAAATTTTTGGATTACCTGCACCAAACCTGGCTTACCGGAGCCTTTGAGGGAATGTGGTGCAAGTATTTGGTCCACGAGCAGAGGACGACTAATGCTGCTGAGAACTACCACGGGTAAGGTTCTGCGTAACTCCTCCGGACCAACAAAAATCATATTTTGATTTAGAAGGCTACGAAGGATAATTGGCAAGAAGTATCCGCCACTTGCTCATCTAATTCTTGCTTTTCGAAGCCTGACGGTAATGGCCAAAGCTACACTAGTGAGGATGAACCTCTTCCGGAACGTAAGCAGAACCCTGAGGAAACGAGACCTGAACCGACGAGAAAAAGTGGATCGCGCTATGACAGCTTTCGAAGAACAGCGAAATAGCCAAGCTTTGAACAGCCATATAGTAGGGAGGTACTCCCGCAGGATGTCGCGGTATACCCCCGAAAAAGCTATTTAATCTATTATATTATATTGATTATATCTTTTATTGCATGTCTGACCTGTATGCTATGTCTCATTTGGCTCTCTTTGATAAATATTGTCAATATGCAAAGAACTACAACACCAGATCGTTCCCACCACTCCCGCCGCACATCCCCCTACCATTCGAGGCCCCCCCCCCCCCCCATCAAATCTTTATTCAAATCGAAACGATCAAGTGCGAAATTTCTTCTTCCTAGTGCGGTCTCGGCCATTCTCCTTGAGTGGTACTGTTGTTACAACCGTCGTCGTCCAGTTGTTCCTTGCGTCCTGCTATATCCTGATCCTCGATTTGCATTCGTGATTCTGCCGTCCTGATCCGCTGCACCTCTTCGAGCTCTTGAGTGCTCCTGCTTGGGTCCGCTGTGAGCCAGAATGAGAGATGCTAGCGGAAGCATTGCCTTATATATGTGGTTATAGCTATCACCAGTGCAATAACATTTTCCCTCGCAATGCTTCAGTCCTTGCCACCATTTTGATGAATGAATTGAAATGAGCTCGGTCGCAATCATACTGACACCCCCTGCTGTCCAAAGAACATTGCTTCCCTATACTTCGCTTAAGAATTTCCCAAAAAATTACTCTACACCGGTCTCGTTTTCACAGCAGGAACGACAAGCGTCCAGTGCGCCTGCACAGCCTTACACTGAGCACAGGCAGTAGGCGTGGCGAGGGGCGGGGCTGTAGCGGAGGTGTCAAGTGCCTGCGAAGCGCCTATGGAGGTGCTAAGTACCCCTGAGAGGAAAAGCGGCTAGGCTTTGGGAACTCCTGCCACGCCGCCTTGAACGCTGATTCCAAATATGCTATTCCTAGCCGAGCATCATTTCGAAGCGAGTTACGGACTTTTTCCCGCGCAAAATTGGCATACTACTGAACATGAGAAGGGTGCCTCTAGATAAGAATCTGCAAGAAAAAGGTGCTGAATTATCGATATAACACTAATGCAATCTTTTCTCACTAAAAAGAGGCTTAACGCAATGTCTTAGCACCTTAGGTGATTATAACGTGATGTTCAGCAATTCGATGAGTATGCCAATTTCGCGCAGGAAAAGTCCATAACTTGCCTTAGAATGTTGCTCGGCAGTTAAAAATAGCATATTTGGAATCAGCGTTTGAAGCTGATTCAGAATACAAATTATGTCCTTGCCAAAAGGCCGAGCTAAAACACCATGAGGTGTCCACAGCCTGCAAAGGTCAGCAATCATTATCGATTGAACAAAATCACGGCACAAACGAATAAAAACGTTTGTGACAATCATTACAAGGACCGCTGTTGTAAGAGCTTGAACAAAATCGTAAGCAACAAGCAAAACAAGAGCAGCTTCAAATGCATTGAGATGTAGAAATCTTTTTCAAAAAAAAAACAATGATGGGGAGATGATAGTGGAAGAAAAGGAGAAATGAGAAAATCGGAGAAAAACAAGGACGTCTAAGTTAAAATGCACAATGTAGGACTAGCAAATTATTGGAAAATTATTTTCCACTGAAAAAATAACAGAATGTGATGAGGAGTCAAGAAAAAGTACAAAAAAGTTCCTGGGGCAAAGATCCAAAATCGACTTCGTATGTGAAAGCACAAAACAAATCACTGAAAAATTTTAATATTAAAATCAACCACTGCCCGAAACAAAAGCAAAAGATCGCTTTGCTGTGTTGCAATTGCGACTTTTATAATGCTTTGTTCAGGGCGCGCCTTTTTTTGCTTTTGACCCCGTTGCAATTTCGTTTCTACCATCTCCTTGCCCGTACATCGTTCCTCATAATCAGATCAGTCGCGACGTCGTCGTCGCGTCGCGCATTCGCAACTCCAAATGCAGAGGAAATTTGGGCGGGGCCAAAAGACGTGGCTTAATCCGCTGGCAGCAGCAGCGCTAGCTCCTCTGCGGCTGCAATCAAAAGCAATGCAACGCAGATGACCCCCAGGATATAATGCAGGAGAAGGCGGTGTATCTTTACTTTACAGCGCCTGCCCCCATCCTCGTCGGAAACATGTATTAACGTGTGTTCGATTGTGTTCGTAATGTCGAAAGGCATCAGGAGCTGAAGAGATTCCGTTTGAGTAGGTTGGCGTTGCAAGGGGGAGGTCGCGATTTGAGGTCTGATAATTAGCCGATTTTCTGTTTTTAGAGCGGTTAAGGGGTTGTTTGCTTCATTAAACCTTAAGCATTTCTTGGCTGATTGAAAATAGTTCTTTTAGTGGGTGGGGCTTGCGATTCACGGTGTGCTGGGAAGCTTTAATCAAACTCGAATATGCCTGGCAAGCACAATTGACAAAATTCGTGACAAAATTCGTTATGAATGACAACTTCAAAGGCAGAAGTGACTGTTCTAAACATTTGCTAAAAGCCTTTTCGATTGGCATTCAAAAATGCTCTGTCAGTATGAATACTTTAGAATGTACAGATGCAGTTCAAGAATGTCCTTTTGAAAATCATTTCTTGTCCTTCCCTTTGCTCTGCACAAGATTATGCACGTCTTTTTGGTGACGAATAACAGAGTCTTTTGCTAGAGCTTCGATGGCAGCAGTCGCTACTGCTGCTTTTCGGCGAGCCTGCAGAGCTTCTCGATATTGCACTAAAATAAACTTTAGTAATTTATCTCAAATCGGTTACCACAAGATTGAAGAAGAAATGCAAAGTAGGAGTCTTTACGGGACCAGAAGCAAGAACACTAAAATTAGTTGAAAAGTTAAAACATTTGGAGTCCTCCTAAACTTTTTCCGTACCTCAATCAAAACCATTCCTTTTTACTTCCAAGTTTTCGAAAAACTCATTGCCACGCTCTCTATTACAAGCGTACAGGGCAAATTTTGAGGAAGCTGCGCGATTATCCAACATTTGTAGGACAACGAGACCTACAGTGACCGCCAAAAAGTTGCGGACAAGCCGCCTTCCTTTTTTCATCGCTCATTTTCGGATGGAAAACATAGATGAAAAAATGTTTGGATGGCATGAGGTGATAGAGCTCATCAAGAGCTACAATCCACATATTGTGCTTTCTGGAAATCATGCAGTTTAAAAATTTTCAAAATCTTTTTCTAAGAAGAGTCCGAAAATGGCCGCGTCACAATGTCGCGGACATCTTCGAACGCAAAAATTTCCTTTTCGGTCCTATTTTCAAGTGGAAACACAGGTAATCCGAATAGGTAAGCAAACTACATTATAGAGCTCATCGAGGGCAATAATCAGGTAGTGGTTGTTTCCAAAAAAACCCAAACTTGAATTTTATTTTGCTTTTTTTCAAAAAGTAACTTCTAATTCCCTTTTTCAAGCCAAATTTCTTCACATGTAAGCCTATTCAAGACATCCTAACAAAGCTGTTCGTCTAAAATGGATGCTTTTTGCCATCCTGTATGCATCGGACGTGCGTTGGTGAGTTTCTTCGCTGAAAATGGCTTTCGAAGTGCGTACACATAACCCCACCTGCACCTCACCACTGAATTGCACCGCTTTGCAGGCTTGTAGCTCGGCCGGCAGTTATTCTACGAGCCTGAAGTAAGCTCATTCGAAAGAGCGTGGCTTTCTCTACACGATGGTATGCAAAGGTGTTTAGTCTCAGAAATAACAGCGATTTGGCGAAAGGGGTGAGAGAGCGTAGCTTCTGTGGTATGGCAAGGATTTTTCAGCAGAAGTTGAGCAAAGCTCCTTTCGCTACTAGTTCTATTCTGAAAGTTCAAAACCGTCAATTTATATGTAATAGATCCATTTCGGGGCTCTAAGACTGTTCTGGCGTTGATAAGAGCCTTCACTCCAATCACCTCTAAGGCTGCGCTCTATCACCCCATCCGCCAAATCTCTGTTATTCCCGATATTGAACTCATTTGCATACCATCGTGTAGAGAGAGTCAGGCTCTTTCGAATGAGCCTACTTGCAAGCTTCAAAACTTTTCTGCTTTACGAGTTCCCCCACGCCCTCAGTTCCCTTATGCCAGCCAATTTTGGTGTCATATCATAGCGTTATGTTTGTACGGATTGGATCAGACTGCGCAGCGTACGCCGCGCACGCTTCATATTTCCCAGTACGTGAGCGTACGCCGCCCAGTCTGGTTCAAAACTATACAAGACACATTTTTAAATTTCCTCGTTTTTTACCGACAGCGCCGTTCCAGAACCTCGATATCTAGCTTGAATCGATTTTACCTGCTCCAAGCGCCAGTCCAAACTTACGGGGGAGCCAACGGGTATGGCGGTTCAAACTAGGATGCATGTTCCTTGAAACAATTCGATAACGGTCTTGGTGTGCCCTCAAATCACGCGCAACTTCTACTTGAACTAATCAAGCTGTGCGATACTAACTTGCCTGGTGACAATGCAATGTTTGCTCCCAAGGGAAAAGTCAAAATTCGAAGTGGCCATTCCCACCAAGTCGCACACTGTTGAACACTCCATGGATGGCTGGCTGCATATCCGCTTTCGCTATCTGCTTATCGGCCTCCTACACGAAGTTGTGGCTCTTGATTCCACCGTGGGGCCGCCGCGAATCATGGATACTCGTCGCCCACCTAGAAGCCAGGTTGGGAGCGCAGCGCAGTGCTAAGTGTGAAGGCATTGCCCTCTTTTGTTTGCAAGTTCAATTCCTTTTGTTTGCTACTCTTTTGCAACCCATCCCCAGTATCTATATTGTTAGTGCGAAGTCTCTAACGCGGTGAAAAGATAGCTCACATCTGAAGGCTTTGAGAACTTTATTTTTTTTACTAGGTGGCTAACCCGACTACGCCCTGCCCTGTCAAAACACTATGATAAGGGTCCCATCCCTATCCCTGTATGACATTTTCCTTTGCTACTTCTACATGCCAATTCCCTACTCCCGCTTAGTAATCAGCATGCTCACTTTTCTCTCCCCCCCCCCCCCGTGCAAACCAGTCCTGTAGCTCAAACTCTGCAAGTGGAGGATAATTTCAAAAATTGATGTAGTATTCGTAATCAGCATGCTCATTTACCCCCTTCTTCTGTGGAAAACCCTAGCCCCGCAGGTCAA